GACGGCGTGCAGGCGCTGCTGCTGTCCGGGGAGCAGCTGTACAGCGCCTCGCGCGACTCCGGACTCAAGTGCTGGAGCCTCGCTGACGGCACGCTCACACATGTCAGTACACACGTCACATCATTATCATCAACCTTTGTCTGCCCACTTTTGGACCTCAGCCTTCCCCGAACACACACCACGCCTACACAAAATAATTATTGAATCTGATTTCGGTCTCGTGATATTGAATAGCATTCAGACTGCACAGTACGTCAATCTGTGTGCACAGTACGTCAACCTGTGTGCGCAGTAAGTAAATCTGTGTGCACAGTACGTCAATCTGTGTGCACAGTACGTCAACCTGTGCGCGCAGTACGTAAATCTGTGTGCACAGTACGTCAATCTGTGTGCACAGTACGTCAATCTGTGTGCACAGTACGTAAACCTGTGTGCGCAGTACGTCAATCTGTGTGCACAGTACGTCAACCTGTGTGCACAGTACGTCAATCTGTGTTCTCAGTACGTCAGTGTAGTGTTTGTGTATTACAGAGCGTGATGAACGCGCACAAGGGGTGGGTGACGGGCGTGTGCGGGGCGGGCGCGGGGCGCGTGGCGAGCGTGGGGCGCGACCAGACGCTGCGGCTGTGGAGCCCCGCGCTGCGCCCCGCGGCTCACCCCGCGCCGTTGCCCGACGCCCCGCACGCCCTCGCCGCGCACCGCGCCGCCGCGCTCTGCACCGCCGCCAGGTACACTCACACACACAAATGCACACACTACATACATACATCTTTACAGATAAATTAAACACTACTGTACTCATTTTATATTTTTCGTTAAGTCTGTCCATACATATTGTTAACAAATTCTTGTCTAGTGTCTATACTCGATGTGGGTAAACACTTAACAAAATGTTTTAACACTCCGTTATACAGAACTCATTAAACATGTGTAATAAATTAACGTGTGAGTGTGTTGCAGCGGCGGCGAAGTGCGTGCGTGGCGGATCGTCGACGACCAGTGACCAGGTGCTCACACAACCGACAGACATTCTATACACAGTTCTATGATCGCACCGTGTCGACTAACTCTTACGCTTGGCTTTATTAAAAAGATACGCAACTCGACATTTGAACTGTGCAAAACTGAAAAGCTTTCATTGTTGACACCATTTACTGACTTCACAGTCAGTTAATTGCCAAAGCAGTATGTATTAACATTTTGAACAATTTATTTCATAACAACACGTGCACAAAAGATTTATGATACGAGTACTATTAAATTTTGAATAGAATCCTAAAGTCGTTTTTCCAAAAGTTATCGACGTAAGTCTTCCTAAAAACTATTCACAGCTAGTTTTTTAATCGAATTATCCACACTACACCTAAAAAACTAACCGTCACACACCTGAGAAGTTCACGTAAGTACTTCAAGAAGCCGGCGACAGCTTGCGCACGCGTCGTCGCCGCTCCACCACCCGCCGTTAACTCTTACGCTTAGCTCATTATACCTTAAACACTATAAAATAAGGTTCTATTTCCATCACTCTATCCTTAACACTTCACCCTTTCTGTAACCTATAGCAACGACTTACTAAATTCTATCTTTAAAAAATCTAACTTCCACTTCTCACTTTTTTTGCACTTTATTACCAGGAAAAAAATCAGAGAAAAACAAAGGTCCCGAAGTATAATGCTTTTGGTGTTGTAACTAGATGGTGTTAATGTTAGATCTTAGTGTTTTCATAACATTAATAAAATCATTCATAACTTAGTTCTCTGTAGTCCCTTTAGCACTAGATTTCCACCATTCGTTTTATTAAGCTAGTAACATTTTTCTTCTTGTATTTCTATTTTATACATTCTTCTTTCATATTCCTTTTCAAAAAGGTTAAGTAAAAAATAATGAGTTGTTAAATTATAACTAAAATTACAAACAAAAGTTTATTGGAACTATACTAACTGAGAAATTTATTCCAATTACATTTTTTTTCTTATAATTGCACTTTAAAATTTGTCTCCGTAACTAAAATACAATAATCTACTATGTGTTCCACAGTGACGGTCGCCTCCGCATCTGGTGCGTGCGGCAGTCCAGGTGACAGCGCGGACCAGACACCAGCCCGCGTCGCGCCTGGCGGTGACACCACGTACCAATACGGGCATCTAACACGTTCCAATTCATGCATCTGACGCGTACCAAAACGTACATCTAATACTTACCCATACCTGCATCTGTCGCATGCCAATACATGCATTTGACGCATACCAATATGTGCATTGACGCATACCAATACGTACATCTGATACGTACCAATACGTGACGCGTACCAGAACGTGTCCCTGGCCGTGGCATGTACCAATTCCTATAGAGCTGGTGTATTTTTAATTTTGAATTAACTAAGGAAATTAAAATGGCGATTGTCATTGGTACTATTATTCAAATATTACATACTTTTGATTGATTACTCGGAGCGTTAATCAATTTAATTATTTAATAAATTTTAAGAAAACGAGCATTTAGTATATGTCAATTACTAAAAATTAAAAATTAAATATGAACTGTATGCCTCTAAATTGATTTACTAACTTAACAATGGTTTGAACCCATTAAAATCCTATAGGAATTGTTGAATTTAGATTTAATGTGTGATAGCAATAATAGGGAAGCTATTTTACAAAGCTTTAATAATTACTGAATCAAATATTAGCAGCAAATAATATCGAATAATTATAGAATTTTAACTAAATATATAAGATAATGAAATAAAAGTAGTGCTTTAGTGAAACGGCTTCAATTTGCATCATTAGCTAATATATAAAAACCAGTGTTTTTATGTTATTTTCGATTTTCTTTAATTAAACCCCTAACATTGTGAAATCAAAAAAATATTTTTTTTTACACTCGAAACACTGTACTTTTGCTTAAAGCCAATAACGATGCACAAATTTATTTTTAATGAGATATATTTAGGAAGATTTTTTTATTTTAGTATACAAAGAAAAATTGAATAGGTAGGAAGTTAAAGAATCTAGATCTAAGAATTAACTGTATTCGTTGACAATACATTGACCTACAAGAAATAGATAGGGCATAATGTTTCCTATATTTGATCACTAAATAAGTGTAGTGTTGTCATATTGTTATAGTCTGTGATTAATCAATCAATTATATTTTTGTACATTCCAGCGCTACGGGTAGTTGTAACTTTGTAATCTCTTATGTTTAAAATCATAGTGTTGCCAACACTCGAATACAAAAACTACATGAACCTTCGCAGGTATATTTTGCTTTTTTTTAGAATTATGCATGTGACGTTATTGATAATTCTGTAATAAATCAAATTATATATACAAATAATATTTTATAGTTTTGTATAAGATAAATGAAATCATAAATGAGTGTTGGAGTACTATGGCAACATTGTGGCCATAAAGTGACTTTGTCTTTTTATATTTTTATACCAGAATAAAATCAGTATAATACGTCTAAGAATTAGAATCTCATTGTATCTTATAGCTTATTATTATTGGTCAGCTTTTTTAATTTCCAAGTCAGATGAAGTCACTTTAAGGTCATTAAGGGATTATTTCCAACCGTCACCTCACTCTGTCCACACGTGAGAATAAAAAGTTTCATCCGTCCCACTATCACGAATACGGTGACAGATGGAACCGTTATGGAATAAGTTCCAACCGTCCCCTCATCACAAAAGGTGGGACGGATGAAACTTTTTATTCTCATTTGTTCCCACGTGGGGACAGAGAGGGAAGACGGTTAGGAATAATTCTCAATAAGTAGTGAATGAGATGTTTGAGGTCAAATGGCTATGAATTTTGTTTGCAGTTTGATTTTCCTTTTCCCTTTCAGTATTATTGTTTTGTTTTTGTATGTTTAAAATGTGTGTTCATTATTTTCGTGTAAGTTTTTATTTTATGTGCAATCACAAATTTTAGTTAAAATATTCGATATAAGTAAAAATGAAGTATCTAAAAACATCAAATATATGAATGAAGATGTTTTAATTTGGATGATTTGATAGGTTCTATAATAAAAAGAATTAATGTCGGGTTCATCAAATAATAAAACGATATATAGTGTTCATTACCTTTATTTGTTAAACCTAGTCACGAGTTTCCACTTTTGAAACATCTATACAAAAACATGTTTTTTTTTTCAAAAAGAATGAATGAAATGACTATTTTTGTACAAGTTCAGAAGTGGAAACTCATGGTACATAATTCTTAATTACAAAGACAGCGTATTACTACATTTTGAATATATTTTAGAGGATTAAGACAAAATTTGAAAAAACCGTATATTGTTAGAAATGAAAATTGTATCATCAATATTTATTTTAACATTTATATTTATATTTGATGATGGAGATTTACAATGTTTCATTTAGTTGTATTTTACTTTATACATTTCATATTTCCGCACCGCGTAATATTTACCATCTGTCAATATGCAATTCCATAAAAGCTGTCGAATATACTCTTGATACAAGATTTTGTTTTATTTCACATCACAAAACACACTTTTACTTAATTTGTCCGTAACACAATTAATCTTCATAAAATACATTATCAATACTTTGTCAGTATTTATATTTGGCGTGCTTGCTGTGCTTCCTGTGGTAGAAGGCGGGGGGCGTGGCCGGCGAGCGGCGCCGCCTCTCCCTCTCGCGGTCACGCTCTCTGTCTCGATCTCTCTCCCTCTCGCGCTCTCGCTCGCGGACACGATCGCTTTCTCTCTCTCTAGATCGAGATCTTGAACGTGATTTTCGTTCACTGTAAACAGAAAATAAAAAATCGAACAAAAAACTCAATACATAGGTGAACAGATAATACAATTCAGATATAACATTTTCCTTATCTCACCTGTGACGATTTCGCTTCGGAGGAGGCGATAGACTGGGCTCCCTGGACTTCTTCGATTTTTTAGATGATACCCTAAAATGAGAATTAAAATTTCAATGAATTAAAAAAAACAACAGAGGTTTGTTGCAAAATAAATAATACAGAAACTAACGAGTACGTGTCATCATCAGCAGGCGAACGGCGTCGAGTGTCGGGCGAGTCGCGCACCTCCTCCTGTGCCTCTTTTGCCTCCTTAGCAGCCTGCACACAATAACATTATAGAGACAATTTTATTTTATTGGAATAAATAGACATAATACACTTGAAATTTGGTCAAACAGTGTTACCTTTTTGATGAGTTTGCGGCGGTAGTGCTGCAGCTGCTGCTGGGCGGTGAGT